AAAAAAAAAAAAAATTGTACCCTCATATTAATTTGAAATAAAAAAAGAAAAAGAAAATCTTAAGGAAGAGGAAAAAAAAACTTGAGAGAAAAGATAAAGGACAAAGGTGCAAAAATAACTGATCGCTGTATGTACAGAGCTCCTGTTTTGCATTAGGCATCATGCTGGGGCTACATGTATTGCTAGATTGGCCATAAATTGTTAATTGTGCAAGTTGGTTGATGAGCACCCAAGCGTGTGTAATACGGTTCTATCCACTTTTTACGTTTGCAAATTCCTATAATACAATTTTTCAACACTATTCTATCTAGAATTTGACCTCAAGATCTTCATGGAAGTGGATTATTTTAGTGGCGACCTAGCCAATCTCCCTGTTTTTAGCCCTTCTGGAATGTTCTATCGACACACCATCCATCCTGTTAAAATAAGTGACAAATCATGTCACTCCTCTACACAGAATTCTCCAGGGACTTAACATCTCACTCCCAGTAAAACCCAAAGTCCTTTCCTGTGGTTTTTAAGGCCCTGCCTGATTCAGACGACCTTAGTTCTACTACTCACTTTCTCATTCACTTTGCTGGGGACCACAGTAGCCTCTAGGCCTTAATATTTCTTGAACTTGCCAGGTACTCTTACCTTAGGGCTTTTTTTTTTCTTGCAGTTCTTGGCCGGAGCTGGTTTTGAACCCACCACCTCCTGCACATGAGGCCGGTGCACACCTTAGGGCTTTTGCACTAGCTGTTCCATGCTGCCCGCCCCAACACTCTTCTCCCTGATAACTAACTGCCTGCCCTCCTTCACCTTCAGTTCTATATTCAGAGGGCATGTTCTCTTTGAGACGTTCCTGGCCCCTCTGTTAATACTTAAAATGGTAGCATGGTGCCCACAGTGTACTCTTTTGTCCCTTAGCGTATTATATATTTCACTTATCTATCATCTTTCATCTCCACCCCACTAGAATCAAAGCCTGTAAAGCCAAGGATTTCAGTCTGCTTTGTTCACCTGAATAGCTTTCAGCATGCCTGGTGAAAGGCAGATGCTTAGGGAAGATTTTTTGAATAATAGGTCTCCATTTTCCAAAGGTAAAATAAAACAAAGCCTTAGTAATTTTCATATTGTTCAACACCATAAAGTTGGGGTTATCCATTTTAATTTTTAGAACTTCATAGTGTCAAGTACAATACCGTGTGTCCAGTTTGTCTTCAATAAATACTCACCTACAAGCAATTTGAGGGAGAAATTCAGTGAACTTGAAGCTTATTAGTTACGTTAGCTAATAGTCTCTGTCTTTTTGTATATGTATCCATATACATATAATTGATTTCATAAAAGGATTAGATTGTTCTTCCTTTCCCGTTCCTTGAAATGATTCTTTAGGTTGTTGACTGATTTTGTAAAAGGAATCAACAGGCTTAGTGGAAGTGCTTTTCCTATTTTTTTTTTTTTTTGAGATGAATCTTGATATATTGGTCAACCTAGCCTCAAGCTCCTGGGCTCAAGGGATCCTCCCAACTAAGCCTCCTGCATAGCTGGGACTACTATAGGTATGTGCCACCATGTCCAGCTGATTTTTGAGGTGGATTGAATACCTTAATAATTCTCTCCATGGGTAGCACTCACTCTCTCAGTGAGTAAGGCACCGGCCCCATATGCCGGAGATGGTGGGTTCAAACCCAGCCCCAGCCAAAAACTGCAAAAAAAAAAAAATAGCCAGGCATTATGGTGGGCACCTGTAGTCCCAGCTACTCGGGAGGCTAAGGCAAGAGAATTGCCTAATCACAAGAGCTGGAGGTTACTGTGATCTGTGATGTCACGGCACTCTACCAAGGGCGACAAAATGAAACTGTCTCTAAAAAAAAAAAAAATTCTCTCCATGACGACAGTAAATCTCTTTTAGATAATTGCTCTGGCAAGAATGATATTCGTGATCATTGCTGCACTTCTGGGTTGCCTTTTAAGGAAATCTTAACCTTTTGTGATTTTTATCTCTGAGAATTTGGGTTTGGGAGTGTCTGTTTGCTTTTATTTGTTTGTTTTTTTGAGATAGCATCTCACTGTGTCACCCTCAGTAAAGTGCTGTGGCATCATAGCTCATAGCAACTTCAAACTCTTGGGCTTAAGCAATTCTCTTGCCTCAGCCTCCCAAGTAGCTGGTACTACAGGTGCCTGCCACAATGCCCAGCTATATTTTTTTTTTGTTGTCATTGTTGTTTAGCAGGCTGGAGCTAGGAACCTGCCAGCCCCCTGACAGTGCCCTAACTACTGTGCTACAGGCGCCAAGCCTATTTGCTTGTTGGGTTTTTTTGTTTGTTTTGTTTTTGAGATAGAGCCTCAAGCTGTCGCCCTGGGTAGGGTACTATGGCATCACAGCTCACAGCAACCTCCAACTCCTGGGTTCAAGAGATTCTCCTGCCTCTGCCTTCCAAGTAGCTGGGACTACAAGTGCTTGCCACAACACCCAGCTATTTTTTGGTTGTAGCCATCATTGTTGTTTGGGGGGGCCGGGCTGGGTTTGAATCTGCCAGCTTAGGTATATGTGGCTGGCGCCTTAGCCACTTGAGCCACAGGCGCCAAACCATATTTGCTTGTTCTTTGAGACAGAGTCTTACTCTGTTGCCCTAGGTAGAGTGCCATGATGTCATAGCTCACAGCAACCTCAAACTCTTGGTCTTGAGCAATCCTGTTGCTTCAGCCTCCCAAGTAGCTGAGAATATAGACACCCATCACAATGCTCAGCTAATTATTCTATTTTTAGTACAGATGGGGGTCTTCCTTATTCTCAGGCTGGTCTCAAACTCCTAAACTGATCTCAGGCTGGTCTCGAACTCCTAAACTCCACCTCAGCTTCCTAGAGTGATAGGATTACAGGCCTGAGCCACTGAGCCTGTAAGAATTCAGTTTCTTGGCTTGGCGCCTGTGGCTCAAGTGGCTAAGTCAACAGCCACATACACCTAAGGTGGCGGGTTCGAATCCAGCCTGGGCCTGCCAAACAACAATGACGGCTGCAACCAAAAAAAAATAGCCAGGCGTTGTGGCGGGCGCCTGTGGTCCCAGCTACTTGGGAAGCAGAGGCAGGAGACTCGCTTGAGCCCAGGAGTTGGAGGTTGCTGTGAGCTGTGATGCC